CAGAGACCCCAGACCCCACCCCAGCCTCCCGGAGCCCGCGGGGTGGGGCCGCGCGGTCCCCTGGGGCCGTGACCGTCAGCTTTGCAGCGGGTCAAGCTCAGCGTCCGGCTCAGCCCCTGGTTGCGTTTGCTCCCTGCCTTTGCTCGCACAACTAGCTGACTCTTCCAGCTTGGCGCGCTCAGACCTACCCCGTGACATGATGTCTTTGAACAATACGCACCCATAAAATAAGGGTAAGAAGATGGCAGGAAGGAAAAAAACCCCATTTTCATTCTAGGTTCTTTGGCTGGTCTACTGATTAGATGAATATAATATATTGATTAACAGGGGACGTTTACTAACAGGTGTGCATGGGAAAGACCAGGGGAAATGGGTAACCCCCGAACGGTCAAAACCATCACCTTAAATATCTGCCTTGGCTAAAGGCAAAAGCGGGTGTCTCTTACGAAGGGTAACTTCTACTTGGTTTTCATAGTTTCCCCCCTGTCTGCTCTTTCTTAAAAATAACCAGCGTAAAATGTTCGGTATACCAACGGGACATATTTTGGGGTGGCAAATTCTGCTCCCCGAGGTGTAAATATTTCTTAGAGGTTTGGCTTTGTTCTCTGTGCATTTTGTGGTTTACTCACGTAAAATGAGAACCCAACTAATTAAAGACTAAATGAGAATTCATTATATAACTGTTCAAATGTTTTTTTAAAAAAGAAGAAAAAGCCTAAAGGTATAAAAAATTTATTTCACCTTTCTTTTACTTTTATGGGATTCTTGGTCTCACTCAGCTGTCAGTCATTCTCATTAGTCTGGGCACATTCTTCAAGCAATCTAAATTGTTCCCACAGTGGCAGCCAAACCAAATAAACAGCCGAACATTGAAGAGTGTCTGATTCCACCAGAGACCTTAAACAACAGAGTGGCCCAGAAAATTCCTATTAAGTGGAAAAGGGTAGGAAACCACAATGACAGCTTTGGCCATAGAAGGAAAATACTCTCTGTAGCTTTTCCTCAATGTGCCCCATCAAAAACAAAATATCTTAAGGACACAAAATAAATAGAACAATGAAAGGCTTTTTGCTCAGCACCAGATAAGAAAAGTATTATAACAGGCAAAAAGTTGTACTTTGAAATGCAATGTAGCTCATTTAGGTTAATTATGCATATATGTGAGAGAGTACAATCTTATTAAACAGAGATATAATAAATATGGTCCGGTTTATTTAATATTTTTAAAATTATGAAATATATATGCTTACCTGGAATTTTCTCTTTTCTGAGGTTCTACTCTATGGCACGTGAAGCATCACATATTTTATGAAGTAAAAGGTCCACATTAATGGGTTTAAAATTTGAGGTCTTACATTTTTGAGAATCATACTCTTTTTCCATAATTCTGAACATAAACCTTAGCACCTTTTCCTATTTGCACCAAAAGCCAAATTAAAATAAATCTATACCTAATTTTGGGGGAGTTCCCTATTTCTAATATATAAAAACACAATATTTTGTAGGTGAAATATTTAAAGAACTTGACATTTATGAATTCTTGTCAAAAGAGCAAAAAATTAGACTCTTAACACTGTAACCTGCTCACTCAAAGTGGAAAAAAATTTCTATTATTAGGGGATGTTTAAAAAAAACAAAAACAGACTGAAAGCAGAGCCACTGTGATAAACACCACCAGGGCTTAGCACCTAACCCAACTGCGGTTTTCCTCTGGGATTTCCTGGTCACCTGCTTTCCACTAAGCGAAGGTGACCTTGCCTGAAATAACCGACTCTTTTAACTTTCTTGTCCTGCCCACTTTCTGCTGGTAAAACCCTTCCAGTTGTACACCTTCCTCAGAGCACCTTTCTATTCTGCTTACTACGTAAAATGTGGTCTGATTTATGACTCATTCAATAAAGCCAATTAGATCTTTCAATTTATTCACTTGGGTGAGATTTTGTTCTTTAACAGTGACATGATTTAGAAATGAATGTGCATAAATCCATTAATTTACTCAGTTTCCCACTACAAAATATGATGGGGATGGTTGCACTTTATTCTATGTCAGTACAGATGGTAGATTTTCCTACAAAACTTGTGGTGAAAGTTTTTAGGGGCTGATTTAAACAAACAGATACTTATATACTAAAGGGCATTCTTAGCATCTTTTAAAACTTGGATTCTTAATTTTCCAAGATTTGCTTTGCTTTTAACATTTAAGAGTGGGGGTTTTTTAAGTCACAGTTTTGGTAATTTAACTATATTTGATAGGAAATTAAAACTTGTTTCTAGTTACATAGGATATATTAAAATGTAAGACATAATTTATTAAATAATTGTGAAACAGATCCCCCTCCCCCAATGAATTAAGGTGGCTTTAATCTTTTGGGAAAGGATAATCCATATAGCACAATCTCAAATATTCTTGTTTAAATAATCAATTTTTAAACAATTTTCTAACTGGCAGTGATTAATCTCTTTCAATCTTTCTACCAGAATGAAAGGGTAATCGAAATTCTTTATCAAAATAAGTTTTCATCTTGAATGCAGCAGTCAAGCTGGTTTTCGTTATCTTTTAAAGAATTGATTAAACAAGTGGAGAATAGAATAGGCTGGGTAAAAAGCACAATGTTGCCCTTTATTCAGAACTTATTACATAAACAATTGAAAACATTGTCATTTACCTAGGCGAAGAAAGAAAGCAAATGAAAGACCTAATGATGAGGGCCACACAAAAGACTATGATTATAATGGAGATCAATGAGGTTTAATTTCTTCTGTATCATATTATGAGGAGACGGAGCATTCTGAAGTGGAAGGCAATAAATTAGAAGTAGATCTTAACTTTTTTATTTTGTGGAAGATAGCTAAAAAGTGATTAAAGGGAAAAACAATTAAAACTCAAATATCGTTAATAATGAATATTGAAAATCCTTGACACACTGTGGAAGGAATTTTTCGGTTAATTCTCTGCATAGAATCAGAGAGGAAGTATAATAAAGAATGTTTGCTTGGCATTTAGGAGGCCTCTGTAGTTGATAGTTTAATATGAAGACGTCTATCTTTGGAGGGAATTATTCCAAATTAAATCAAGAAAGAGTTCACAGGGTATGGTTTTTGGCAGTCGTGAAGGAACTCTGGTGCACCTGCTTAGGAACATTTTCCCCTTGTATAAAGGTGTCTGCTATTTTGCTTAGTTTGTGGTAAGTAATTTGCATAAATCCATAATGTAGCTGTCAGATTCTTTTCTTTCTGGTAGCATTCTAATGCTAATAGAGAAGTGAAAAACAGAATTAAAAAAATCTTTGTAGACCCAACATCATTACATTTGACATCCGTATACTCTCTGTGATAAATATAGCATCGGCTTTTCTATGGTGATGCTTTCATAATCTTAGCTTCTGGGCGTTCGTGCTACACAGTGTTTGCACAGGACAGTAACATTTTACTGATGGCAGGTAGAGAGGGTTTTGTAGTGTGTGACTCACTCTCTCTGTATTTGAATGAGTGGGAACAGGCAGTGGATAGCCTAATTAATATTTGAAAACTTGTAAGCAACATTTGCCAGCCACTTCCTTGGCCTTTTTCGCCTAAAAATTTTCAATTGAAACATTGTAGTTACAGTGAAATTGTGATATGGAAGTATTGACTTAAAAATACCTTACTAACTCTTTAAAATATAATTTCCAATCTAGGAAAAGTGATCAAATAATTCATCCCAAAGATCTGAATCTTTGAGGGTCTTTTTGGCTGCTCATCATTTGGGGAAAGCATTAGCGACCATGAACAGAAGTTTGCCTTTCACAAATGGAAAATTTATTCACACTCATAGCAATGTAAGAAGTAGTTATTTCCAAGTTCAGGAAAAATACCAAACAAACAAACAAAAACGAACATATAAATCAATCAACTATAAACTTTATTATTGTTATTTCCTCTTATATCTAACAGGGCACCCTCAGGTCATTAGGTTTAGAGCAAGCAATCATATTATAGCAAAAACAGTTTCTAGAGCACCTAATTAGAAATTTTCTTTGTACATTTATTTTTCTTGTTTAAAATACAATTTTATCTACAAAAGGACTACAAGCTGTGTTTATAAATAGGTCAGATTGATATAAAGAAGCAGCCAAGGTGTAAAATTCTACAAAATGCCAGGAACCATGTGAGGCAGCACAATTCAGAAGCAATTCTTAGGAGAGTATCTGAAAAGCCATCTTCCTTCCCATTGACAAGAGAGATGTTAGCAAACTGGAAAAAATGAAATAAAATTCAGAGGAGAAAAATATCTTATGTAGAAAGAAAGCATTAAACAAAAGCAATTATGCAGTCAGCGGAGGGGGTGTCCCTGAATGTTACCACTCCTAGAGACCCTCAACAACGAGATATCATTCTTTATCCACTTGTCGGCTGATGGGCACTTGGGCTGTTTCCAGACCTTAGCTATGGTAAATTGCACTCCTATGAACACAGGGGTGCATAAGTTCTTTGTGATTGGTGTTTCGGGTTCCTTAGGATATATTCCTAGGAGTGGGATCACTGGGTCAGATGGCAGGTCAATTTTTAATCTTTTGAGGAAACTCCATACCGCTTTCCATAGTGGCTGCCCCAGTCTGCATTCCCACCAGCAGTGCACTTGGGGGCCCTTTGCCCACACCCTCCAAGCACTTGCCCTTTGTTGATGGAGCCATTCTGACAGGTGTGAAGTGATACCTCATTGTGGTTTTAATTTGCATCTCTCTGATGATCGGTGACTGAGCATTTTTTCATATGTCTCTTACCATCTATGTCCTCTTTGGAGAAGTGTCAATTTAGGTCCTTTGCCCATTTTTTAACTGGATTGTCTCCCTTTTGTTAAGTTGTATGAGTTCCCTACGTATTTTGGCTATTAACCCTTTATCCGATGTGTCGTTGGCAAATATGTTCTCCCATACAGTGGGCTCCCTTTTCATTTTGTTGATGGTTTCCCTTGCTGTGCAGAAGCTTTTATTTTGATGCAGTCCCATTTGTTTATTTTCTCCTTTGTTTCTCTTGCCCTAGGAGATGTATCGGGGAACATATTGCTACAAGAGATGTCTGAGATTTTGCTGCCTATGTTTTCTTCTAGGATTTTTATGATTTCATGTCTTACATTTAAGTATTTTATCCATTTTGAGTTTACTTTTATGTATGGTGTAAGTTGGTGGTCTAGTTTCATTTTTTTGAAGTAGCTGTCCAATTTTCCCAGCACCATTTGTTGAAAAGACTGTCT